ACAAGGCATGTTGATTGCACGGTGCTGTACAGTACAAGGCATGTTGATTGCACGGTGCTGGACAGTACAAGGCATGTTGATTGCACGGTGCTGGACAGTACAAGGCATGTTGATTGCACGGTGCTGTACAGTACAAGGCATGTTGATTGCACGGTGCTGGACAGTACAAGGCATGTTGATTGCACGGTGCTGGACAGTACAAGGCATGTTGATTGCACGGTGCTGTACAGTACAAGGCATGTTGATTGCACGGTGCTGTACAGTACAAGGCATGTTGATTGCACGGTGCTGTACAGTACAAGGCATGTTGATTGCACGGTGCTGGACTGTACAAGGCATGTTGATTGCACGGTGCTGTACAGTACAAGGCATGTTGATTGCACGGTGCTGTACAGTACAAGGCATGTTGATTGCACGGTGCTGGACAGTACAAGGCATGTTGATTGCACGGTGCTGTAAAGTACAAGGCATGTTGATTGCACGGTGCTGTAAAGTACAAGGCATGTTGATTGCACGGTGCTGTAAAGTACAAGGCATGTTGATTGCACGGTGCTGTACAGTACAAGGCATGTTGATTGCACGGTGCTGTAAAGTACAAGGCATGTTGATTGCACGGTGCTGTACAGTACAAGGCATGTTGATTGCACGGTGCTGTACAGTACAAGGCATGTTGATTGCACGGTGCTGGACAGTACAAGGCATGTTGATTGCACGGTGCTGGACAGTACAAGGCATGTTGATTGCACGGTGCTGTACAGTACAAGGCATGTTGATTGCACGGTGCTGTACAGTACAAGGCATGTTGATTGCACGGTGCTGTACAGTACAAGGCATGTTGATTGCACGGTGCTGGACAGTACAAGGCATGTTGATTGCACGGTGCTGGACAGTACAAGGCATGTTGATTGCACGGTGCTGTACAGTACAAGGCATGTTGATTGCACGGTGCTGGACAGTACAAGGCATGTTGATTGCACGGTGCTGTACAGTACAAGGCATGTTGATTGCACGGTGCTGTACAGTACAAGGCATGTTGATTGCACGTTGCTGTACAGTACAAGGCATGTTGATTGCACGGTGATGTACAGTACAAGGCATGTTGATTGCACGGTGCTGGACAGTACAAGGCATGTTGATTGCACGGTGCTGGACAGTACAAGGCATGTTGATTGCACGGTGCTGTACAGTACAAGGCATGTTGATTGCACGGTGCTGTACAGTACAAGGCATGTTGATTGCACGGTGCTGTACAGTACAAGGCATGTTGATTGCACGGTGCTGGACAGTACAAGGCATGTTGATTGCACGGTGCTGGACAGTACAAGGCATGTTGATTGCACGGTGCTGTACAGTACAAGGCATGTTGATTTGCACGGTGCTGGACAGTACAAGGCATGTTGATTGCACGGTGCTGTACAGTACAAGGCATGTTGATTGCACGGTGCTGTACAGTACAAGGCATGTTGATTGCACGGTGCTGTAAAGTACAAGGCATGTTGATTGCACGGTGCTGTACAGTACAAGGCATGTTGATTGCACGGTGCTGTACAGTACAAGGCATGTTGATTGCACGGTGCTGTACAGTACAAGGCATGTTGATTGCACGGTGCTGTACAGTACAAGGCATGTTGATTGCACGGTGCTGTACAGTACAAGGCATGGGATTGCACGGTGCTGTAAAGTACAAGGCATGTTGATTGCACGGTGCTGTACAGTACAAGGCATGTTGATTGCACGGTGCTGTACAGTACAAGGCATGGGATTGCACGGTGCTGTAAAGTACAAGGCATGTTGATTGCACGGTGCTGGACAGTACAAGGCATGTTGATTGCACGGTGCTGTACAGTACAAGGCATGTTGATTGCACGGTGCTGGACAGTACAAGGCATGTTGATTGCACGGTGCTGTACAGTACAAGGCATGTTGATTGCACGGTGCTGGACAGTACAAGGCATGTTGATTGCACGGTGCTGTACAGTACAAGGCATGTTGATTGCACTGTGCTGTACAGTACAAGGCATGTTGATTGCACGGTGCTGTACAGTACAAGGCATGTTGATTGCACGGTGCTGGACAGTACAAGGCATGTTGATTGCACGGTGCTGGACAGTACAAGGCATGTTGATTGCACGGTGCTGTACAGTACAAGGCATGTTGATTGCACGGTGCTGGACAGTACAAGGCATGTTGATTGCACGGTGCTGTACAGTACAAGGCATGTTGATTGCACGGTGCTGTACAGTACAAGGCATGTTGATTGCACGGTGCTGTACAGTACAAGGCATGTTGATTGCACGGTGCTGTACAGTACAAGGCATGTTGATTGCACGGTGCTGTACAGTACAAGGCATGGGATTGCACGGTGCTGTAAAGTACAAGGCATGTTGATTGCACGGTGCTGTACAGTACAAGGCATGTTGATTGCACGGTGCTGTACAGTACAAGGCATGGGATTGCACGGTGCTGTAAAGTACAAGGCATGTTGATTGCACGGTGCTGTAAAGTACAAGGCATGTTGATTGCACGGTGCTGTAAAGTACAAGGCATGTTGATTGCACGGTGCTGTAAAGTACAAGGCATGTTGATTGCACGGTGCTGTACAGTACAAGGCATGTTGATTGCACGGTGCTGTACAGTACAAGGCATGTTGATTGCACGGTGCTGTACAGTACAAGGCATGTTGATTGCACGGTGCTGGACAGTACAAGGCATGTTGATTGCACGGTGCTGGACAGTACAAGGCATGTTGATTGCACGGTGCTGTACAGTACAAGGCATGTTGATTGCACGGTGCTGTAAAGTACAAGGCATGTTGATTGCACGGTGCTGTACAGTACAAGGCATGTTGATTGCACGGTGCTGGACAGTACAAGGCATGTTGATTGCACGGTGCTGGACAGTACAAGGCATGTTGATTGCACGGTGCTGTACAGTACAAGGCATGTTGATTGCACGGTGCTGTACAGTACAAGGCATGTTGATTGCACGGTGCTGTACAGTACAAGGCATGTTGATTGCACGGTGCTGTACAGTACAAGGCATGTTGATTGCACGGTGCTGTACAGTACAAGGCATGGGATTGCACGGTGCTGTAAAGTACAAGGCATGTTGATTGCACGGTGCTGTAAAGTACAAGGCATGTTGATTGCACGGTGCTGTACAGTACAAGGCATGGGATTGCACGGTGCTGTAAAGTACAAGGCATGTTGATTGCACGGTGCTGTAAAGTACAAGGCATGTTGATTGCACGGTGCTGTAAAGTACAAGGCATGTTGATTGCACGGTGCTGTAAAGTACAAGGCATGTTGATTGCACGGTGCTGTACAGTACAAGGCATGTTGATTGCACGGTGCTGTACAGTACAAGGCATGTTGATTGCACGGTGCTGTACAGTACAAGGCATGTTGATTGCACGGTGCTGGACAGTACAAGGCATGTTGATTGCACGGTGCTGGACAGTACAAGGCATGTTGATTGCACGGTGCTGTACAGTACAAGGCATGTTGATTGCACGGTGCTGTACAGTACAAGGCATGTTGATTGCACGGTGCTGTACAGTACAAGGCATGTTGATTGCACGGTGCTGGACAGTACAAGGCATGTTGATTGCACGGTGCTGGACAGTACAAGGCATGTTGATTGCACGGTGCTGTACAGTACAAGGCATGTTGATTGCACGGTGCTGGACAGTACAAGGCATGTTGATTGCACGGTGCCGGACAGTACAAGGCATGTTGATTGCACGGTGCTGGACAGTACAAGGCATGTTGATTGCACGGTGCTGTACAGTACAAGGCATGTTGATTGCACGGTGCTGTACAGTACAAGGCATGTTGATTGCACGGTGCTGTACAGTACAAGGCATGTTGATTGCACGGTGCTGGACAGTACAAGGCATGTTGATTGCACGGTGCTGTACAGTACAAGGCATGTTGATTGCACGGTGCTGTACAGTACAAGGCATGTTGATTGCACGGTGCTGGACAGTACAAGGCATGTTGATTGCACGGTGCTGTAAAGTACAAGGCATGTTGATTGCACGGTGCTGTAAAGTACAAGGCATGTTGATTGCACGGTGCTGTAAAGTACAAGGCATGTTGATTGCACGGTGCTGTACAGTACAAGGCATGTTGATTGCACGGTGCTGTACAGTACAAGGCATGTTGATTGCACGGTGCTGTACAGTACAAGGCATGTTGATTGCACGGTGCTGGACAGTACAAGGCATGTTGATTGCACGGTGCTGGACAGTACAAGGCATGTTGATTGCACGGTGCTGTACAGTACAAGGCATGTTGATTGCACGGTGCTGTACAGTACAAGGCATGTTGATTGCACGGTGCTGTACAGTACAAGGCATGTTGATTGCACGGTGCTGGACAGTACAAGGCATGTTGATTGCACGGTGCTGGACAGTACAAGGCATGTTGATTGCACGGTGCTGTACAGTACAAGGCATGTTGATTGCACGGTGCTGTACAGTACAAGGCATGTTGATTGCACGGTGCTGGACAGTACAAGGCATGTTGATTGCACGGTGCTGGACAGTACAAGGCATGTTGATTGCACGGTGCTGTACAGTACAAGGCATGTTGATTGCACGGTGCTGTACAGTACAAGGCATGTTGATTGCACGGTGCTGTACAGTACAAGGCATGTTGATTGCACGGTGCTGTACAGTACAAGGCATGTTGATTGCACGGTGCTGGACAGTACAAGGCATGTTGATTGCACGGTGCTGTACAGTACAAGGCATGTTGATTGCACGGTGCTGGACAGTACAAGGCATGTTGATTGCACGGTGCTGGACAGTACAAGGCATGTTGAGAATGGAACCTTTCGCATGTTGCTATCTCTGTGAATGATCAGCTTGCAGCAATCCCCACTGCTTGCGTGGACCCATGCTCATGTCATTCGCAGAAATCAGCAAAGGCAGCAGCGGCAGCAGCAGCACCAGTTTCAGCAACAGCGATTCTCCTTCAACAGGGGATGGAGGTGGAATGTCAGTGGGAGTCATCATTGGCATTGTTGTTGCTGCTGTGGTCCTTCTCCTGCTTCTGGGCGCCACTCTGCTTTACGTCCGGCGCAGGAAGGGTATACTCTGATTAACCAAACTCTGTTGATGATGCAGTTGTGTGTGGCTGTTTGCAACATAGCGTTAAGAGGAGTACAATGTTTTCACTACATAAGCGGTGACATGACCATGCAGGTCTGCTAGTATAATCATGCTCGACTCACAACTACTCAATCCAATTCGTGCTCAAGCCTATCTCCCTGCACCCCTCTGCCCTTCTTTCACCTCTGACACCATGAGCAGGCACTGGCAGCAGCCTGGCAGCCTCGCATTGCACGGATTTGTCAATAGAAGAGGTCGTCAAGGCCACCAGTGACTGGTCCCATGACCACCAGCTGGTCTCATGTGCCTCCTATCACCTCTGACACCTTGAGCAGGCGCGGATGGCAGCCTGGCAGCCTCCCACTGTACGGAGTTCTCAATAGAGGAGGTCGTCAAGGCCACCAATGACTGGGCAAAAGACAACCAGCTGGGCTCGGGTGCCTTTGGCGATGTGTACAAGGGCATGTCTCCCCGCGATGGCACCACCGTGTGGGCTGTGAAGCGCGCCAGGCTGATTGACGTGGACTTCCAAAGGGAGGTAAGTGAGGCGCGGATATGGTGCTCAGTGATCTGTGGTGAGCCACGGTGAACCATAATACAATGGCGTGTCTCTGTGGCCTAAGTGACATTTCCCATTCCTTGCCTAGATATTTTTGTATACTCACAATGCATCGGTTTCTAGTCTATATATAAATTGTGTCTTTCCTTCTTCGCTTTGCATTTGCATCCTTGGTTGAATGTGTTTGTTGGTCCCATTTTTCAATCTGTTCCTCTTCCCTGCATCTCACCCTTCCTCTCTGGCTGTGTGGGTCAGATCCAGCAGATGGCCGACAAGAACCATCCCAGCATTGTGAGGCTTCTTGGGTTTGCGATCGGAGGCGACTTGAGGTCACGGCCGGAGCAAGTTCTCATCTATGAATACGTGCCCAATGGCGACCTTCGCGAATGGATTGATCCAAGTAAGGGGGCCACTCCACTCCATTGTGATCTCTTTTTGTGCCTCGCATGTTTTGATGTGCCTGTCATATGCTGTGCCACTCATGCTGTGCCACTGATATGCCATCCGCTCATTTCCAGTGCCTCTCATATGCTGTTCCAAATATGTTGTGCATCCTTGCACAAGCAGTGTGTCCCTCTGGCTGTGAAGCAGCTTGCCACAAATACGCTGTGTCACAAAGATGTTGTACCACACATCCTTGAGATGTAGCCTGCCCTCTGCCACTCATCCTCTGCCACTCATCTTCTTTGCCACTCATGCTGCCATTTATTTTTTGCAGATGCCGAGCGCCCGCTGACTCTGAAGCAGCGGCTGGACATTCTCATCGGCTTGGGACGGGGCTTGGAGTACCTCCACAGCTTTGGCATCGTGCATCGCGACATCAATCCTGGCAATGTACTCATCACCGACGACATGCAGGCAAGCTTGGTTGCGGACGATCGTTTGAATACCATAATATTTTTTTTGGCGAAGGCATAGTTGTTTCAAAATGGGGTGCCCGTTCAACCTAATGGGCATCACGGGTTAACCTTTGATGGCCCAGTTACGTGGTGTGCTTTGTGGGGAGAGTCACTCCACTTCGACTATCGTAGCGTTCCGTGTGTTCTTTAGCACTTGTGCGTTCACAGGGCAAAACTGCAAGAGTTGCCACCACTTAAATCTCTTTCCGAGGCATGTTGAATGAGTACCCCGGTTTTTTTAATTTGCCAGCATATGCATTCGAGTCTGGAAAAGGTACCTAATGAGAACGGGACCAAATCCTGAGTGGCACAGCGAAGTTGAGCATAATCCAAACTCAAGCGTGTTTGCCTCGAACCCTTACGAACACTTACGAAATCAAACTGAACGCATTCGAATTCAGTTTCGCCACGAACAATTCTTCTCAGAATAAAGTGTTTATGTGTTTGAGGTTACAAGTAGGTATGGGTAAGATGTGAACACGAACACTTTCAGGAAAAGTGGTGTTTTGGGAGCTAACACCTTCATGTTTGCCCCGAGCATGAAGTCATGTTCTGTTGTGAATTTTAACACATGCAACCATCTATCATGCTCTGCTCTTCATCCCTCATGCTACAATGTCTCTCATAACCAGGCAAAGATTGCAGACTTTGGGCTGGTGAGGATGGAAAAGGGCACTTCTGTAAGCACGACGCGTGTCATGGGCACACCGGGCTATGTGGATCCGGCCTACTTCAGCACATGCAAGGCTACCACTGCCAGTGATGTGTACAGGTGAGGCAGGGATGTGTACAGGTGAGGCTAGGGATGAGCAAATGGCGAACTCGAACACGTTTGGGTTCGAGTTCGCTCGAACATCATCTTTTCCCGAACCGAACAAAGTTCGGTTCGGCGAACACTTTGAGCAAAAAATGGTGTTCGCCGTTCGCCTGTGAAGGCGTGTTCGGGCGAACCTCGAACAGTGTTCGTGTTCGTCACGGGCAAATTGCAGCGGCGGCCCGAACACGAACGTGTTCGGGCGAACATCGAACACTGTTCGGCGAACATTTTAAGCAAAAAAAAAATACCTGTTCGGTTCGCCTCGAACACGTTCGAGGCGAACCGAACAGGTGTTCGCCACCTTGCTCATCCCTAGGTGAGGCTGGAGACCCTTAGAAATCTTAACAGGATATCCTATAAAAGCATTTGAGGAGGCTTCAAGTGCTATGTGTGCACATGTGCAATCCATTAACATTTGCAATTTATGAACATGTGCAATCCATGAACAAGTGCAATCCATGAACGAGTGCAATCCATGAACAAGTGCAATCCATGAACAAGTGCAATCTATGAACCTGTGCAATCTATGAACAAGTGCAATCCATGGTCAAGTGCAATCCATGAACAAGTGCAATCCATGAACCAGTGCAATCCATGAACCTGTGCAATCCATGAACAAGTGCAATCCATGATCAAGTGCAATCCATGATCAAGTGCAATCCATGAACCAGTGTAATCCATGAACCTGTGCAATCTATGAACAAGTGCAATCCATGATCAAGTGCAATCCATGAACCAGTGCAATCCATGAATCCGTGCAATCCATGAACAAGTGCAATCCATGATCAAGTGCAATCCATGATCAAGTGCAATCCATGAACCAGTGCAATCCATGAACCCGTGCAATCTATGAACAAGTGCAATCCATGATCAAGTGCAATCCATGAACAAGTGCAATCCATGATCAAGTGCAATCCATGAACCTGTGCAATCCATGAACCTGTGCACACTGCATCTAGGTGGCAAGGTTTATGTGAAGTGCCTCCATCTCTGGCTCTTACTCTGCATCGTGTGCTTTGATCATCATGTGCATTTTAACTCTTCTTCTCAGCTTTGGAGTGCTCATGCTGGTCGTGTTTACGGGACGCCCACCATTCGTGGAGGCTGATGGAGAGGGCCAGCTGATCACAAAATGGGTAAGCATTCTCTATATAAAATAGAGACCAGGTATTTGTGATGATGTCCTCTCAATAGCAGAAGGGAACAAAGGTTTGAGGCACCTCAAAATGGGTAAGCATTCTATCCAAGAGACCAGGTGTTCTGTGATGGTGTCCTCTCTATAGCAGAAGGGAACACCAAGTTGAGTTCTGAGTGGACTCAAAAGTAAAGATGGGTAAGCATCCTATCCAAGAGACCAGGTTTTCTGTGATGGTGTCCTCTCAATAACAGAAGGGAACAACCGTGTCCGCTGCCTAGTGGTTGGTTGTTGTTAAGTCTTATGCATCGCCACCTGGAAATATTTGGCGGGAAAACACTTTGCTACAGTCTGGGCAGGTGAATTCTGTGGTTACCACCCGGGCAGCAAAATAAATCCCCGTAATTGCGCGGCTTGTGCGTGCTCTGGGTCCAAAAACGAAGACGCCTCACAGCTAGAATGTACAAAAGAGCTCAGGTAGCACTTTCTCAATGATGCCAACCGGTGTTCTGTCCACACCTTGTTGACCTTGCTCACCTTACTCTGATTTTTATTTCTCCCGCCCGCTCCACTCCCTCAGGCATCCAACTGCCTCTCCTCGGAGGACTTGGGCAGCCTCAACCACCCCACCATGGACGCCCCTGCAGACGCTGTGCTGCGCGTGGCACGGCTCGCCCTCTCCTGCACTGCAGATCGCTCTGCAACCCGCCCAAGCATGGCACACGTCGCCAACGAGCTGCAGGCCATCCGGGAGGAGGTGGTGGGGAAAGAGGAGCTGAGCGCGGCTGTCAAGGTGGATGCACAGGTCCAAGAAAAGGAGGTGGTTGCCAATGTGTTAAGCTTTGACGAGCAGCTTCAGATTATTGAAGACAACTTGGCTGAAGGATAAGGTATGTTTCAACATTGACAAGTAGCAATTTCCGTTCGACAGCTGAGTGTGAATGTCGAAAAACGCTACCATACCAATATTGTATTTTACCGGAAAAAGTACCCTAGGGTATTATGAGGTATATATAAATGATATGTACGTATATGTGCGTGCGTGCGTATGTGTGTGTGTTTTTTTTTCCAATTTGGGGTTCTATGTTGGAAATCCGAATACAATATAGCGAATACTGTATACTGGTGTGCTCTTTGGTTTTAGTGTAGTCCCCTTTATAAGCCTCCAAGACCTACAATAATTGTCACAATTATTGTAGGGCCAGAATAATTGGAAGTCAGCATTATTGGAGGGTAGAGGGTACAATTATTGATACACGATTATTGGTGTGAATGGGTCATTCTGAAGGGGTAGCTGGATGCATATATACCTTGCTATGTCACTTCTTCATCATCATTGAGTAATCATTGTGTTATCATTCTACTTTTCAGTGATCAATGCAAGATTTCTATCTTGTTCTTTTCTACAAACACGTTTCCGCTACGTTGGCACTATGCCTTTCTAGCATGGTATCAGAGCTACTCTAAGGGGCATGCTGCCAAAACTGGTTTAGGAATTTACTGGCATTCACTTCGGATAGGTACCTGCATACAGTTAGAGTACCGGACACCCGGTCTACGCTTTCGTACACCTGGTGTTCGCTGTTGGTTACAACCGCGCGTTTACCGCACACTTGGTGGACGGCAGGGCCTCAAATTCGTTTTTAGCTTGGCTGAGACATCAGCCTTAGCAGGCTACGCTAGGCTGATCAATCAGAGTTGGTTAAAAAAAACAATTCTGAAATTTCAGACAAGTCACCTAAAAAAACGCTGACTAATCAGCCTCACTAAAAAAACGCAGGCTGATCTATGTTTAAGCACTTTGTTCATTAAGTTTAGCAGGTGCTGTGCTGTGCTGCCCTGGTGGTTGGTGAATGGCGCATAAGTGATGTGATTGGTTAAATAACCAATCACATCAATTGAAGCATTCTGTCGGTGACAACGAAGCAACCGACTCGTCGGGGAAATTCGTTTTCCCGCCGCGTCGGCGCTGTACGTGGCAACTTTTGCGTGATTGACGGTGGATGTACCCGGACAGCCGAAAAGCACGGCTCCGGCACGAATCTCTAATAGCGTGAGTTCAGCCTACACTCTCGTTACAAGTCTGATCAATCAGCGGACACTTGTAAAAAAACGCTGGAAAATCAGCCAATACTTAAAAAAAAAACCTGAAGAATCAGCCAACACAATAAAAAAAAAAACTGAATTATCAGCCAACACATCAGCCATATGTTTGAGAAATCAGCGTCCAGACCCTAAATCAGCCTTTTTTCGCTGACTTCTGAGGCCCTGGTGGACGGCTTTGTCAAGGTCATGGCGCACTTCGATGGCGAAATGGATCCTGGATATGCGGCTATTGAAGAAGACATCATGGCTCAGCATGAGCACATGGAAAGCATGATTGCAAAGGCACCACCAGCACTCTAAGCTTCGTTAAGGGACAAGTTTGGAATAACAATCCAGCCAAGGACAACGTTATCTCATGAGTCCAACAATCCGTCCACACGTGGACACTCTCATTCAAGCACTCCACGTACTAACCAAACTCGTGCAAATGTTCATGCAGGAATTGATGGTGAAGGGGAAATGGGTATACCTGAATGAGGAGAGTCATCCAAATAGAGGGATGCATCTGTCCAAGGAGAGGAGAGCGCCAATCCCGAACCTCAATCATCCATGCAAAGGGAAGCACGGGGGAGGAATGATAAGTATGGGAGTGCAGTGCATGGTGGAATGAGAAGTGGACAGATTGAGCATCAAGGTGACGGAAATGGTGAAGTGGGCGTGGAAGGTGTGGGATTCGCCTCCTACACTATTGGTGCTCCCCCACTACGACGACTTGCGACCAACTCCCATCCCATTGGAGTTCCTCCCATGGCCAGGTCTCACCTTCATGGCGGCTATGACGTACCTCCGCGTGCACCACGTCCACCTATAGGCGCACACTATGTGGACAGCATGGGGCGGATGGGATACGGAATGCAGTCAAGTGGCGCCATGCAACGTGATCAAGTGGAAGTGCTGGAACGTCAACTTGGAAGACAGAATGGGAATATGCGGCACACGGTGCAGCTACCTCGACCGTCAACCGTGCCTACTTTTAGAATATATCTGTAACTGCCTGTAGCTGTAGTTAGTGTAGTTATTATAAACTTTGTTAGGTGGTGCACCTTCTTTGTTCCTTTGCTATATGTTCTTGCAAACCTACAGTGAAGTCCCTCATTCTCCTTTTCAATTCTCTCGATACTCAACTCTCTCGTCACTCTCGCCTAGGTCAAACCCTAGGCCCCTCAACTACTATTTTGATAGGCTATCAGAGCAAACTACGTTCCTGGCCTGTTGCTTCCGCTGCTACTCTGTGTACTGCACGCCCCGTGGCGTGCCCCTCGCGAGACCCTTAGTGGCCCCTCGCGACCCCCTTCGCGGCCCCGTCGCCGCCCTTCGAGGCCCTTCGCGGCCCCTTCGCGGCCCCTTCGCAGCCCCGTCGCCGCCTTTACCGGCCCGTCGCCGCCCTTCCAGGCCCCTCGCAGCCCCTTCGCGGCCCCGTCGCCGCCCCTATCGGCCCCTCGGCTCGGCTCTGCCCCGACCCTGTCGCGGCCCCGTCCCGGACCTGCCCTGACCCCGGCCCTGCCCTGACCCTGTCGCGGCCCTATCGCGGCCCTCACCCTGCTATGCCCCGACCCTGCCTCGACCCTGCCCCGGCCTTGCCCCACCCATGCTCCGTCGTCTGTCGCGGCGCACCGGGGGCACGTGCACCGCCCCCCCCCCCCTCTTTTTCCCGTCGCCTGTCGAGGCGACCTGAGGGGGCCGCGTGGGGGGGGCGAGCGTCGCCCCTTCTGCCGCCTGCTTTGGCGCCCTGGGAGGCCGCGCGTCGCCCCCCCCCCCCCCCCCCCCCCCTCCTCCTTTCGTTCCCACTGCTGCAGCTGCCACAGTGGGGGAGGGTGTGAGGGTGTGGGGGAGCTAGGGGAGTGGCATTGGGGTGGCGGGTGTGTGGTCTCCCCTTCCCATCCTCCTCCTTTCGCCCCCCCTCTGTTGCTCCTGCAGTAGTGTGGGGGGGAGGGGGAGGGTGAGGGGATGGAGTGGGTGACCAGCCAGCGCCAGCCCGCCTCCTCTCTCTCCATGCCGCCCCTCCTGTGGTCGGGGGGGGAGGAGAGTAAAGGGGTGGCAGGAGTACCTGCCCCCCCCCCCCCCCCCCCCCCCCCCCCTTTGTTGCTGTACCTGCTTTGTAACCTTGCCTGTTGCCTGCTGTTGCTGTTTTCTCAGTTCGTGGTGTACCCATCCAGGTTGTATCACTGCACAGACTCCTGCTTTTGGCAGTTATGGGGGAGTGTTAGAATATATCTGTAACTGCCTGTAGCTGTAGTTAGTGTAGTTATTATAAACTTTGTTAGGTGGTGCACCTTCTTTGTTCCTTTGCTATATGTTCTTGCAAACCTATAGTGAAGTCCCTCATTCTCCTTTTCAATTCTCTCGATACTCAACTCTCTCGTCACTCTCGCCTAGGTCAAACCCTAGGCCCCTCAACTACTATTTTGATACCTACTCTCTTCGACCCCGCTCCACGTGAATATACGGAAGAAGACAAGGAACTACTGTCACGCAAAATGATTGGAGAAACCGTGGACAAGGCGTTCACCACCACTCCGTTTGATGGCTCCAACTTCCGGGAGTGGGCACTACGGTTTCGTATGAACGTTCGTGTCACGAATCTGTGGGAGTTCTTTGTGACCCTGCAGTATCCGGTTACCATGGGAGATGGTGACATTAACGACGCTATGGAGCGGCTGGAAATGCTACAAGCGGATAATTCACAGCGTGCGGTGCTCGCTTTTTGGGTCCTACTGCACAGCGTGAGCGCCACGATTCAGCTAGAGCTGGACATGTTCTAGGAATCCTACAGCCCGTCATATGAAGCTTGGGAGTACTTGATGCATACTTACCAGGCCAAAGATTCGGTGGCGAAGGTCGCTCACTTGAAGCAGTTGGACAACATGAAAATGGGGAGTCAAGAGAGAGTGGAAGAGTACGTGAACCGCGCAACTGCAATCCGGGAAAAGTTGGCACTAACGGGGAAGATGGTGGATGAGGACACATTCACATTGAACCTGCTTACCGGACTACCGGCATATTGGGAGGAGATGAGGCACTCGGCAATGCTACACAACGTGACGGACAGCTTCACTTTGCAACGGATGATGATTCAGGAGCAGATATATCATGACCTCATCACGAAAGATAATCGTGACCGGCGTCCACCTCGCATGGCTGGACAAGCACGTCGAGACCGCTCACCTTCTCCAAGTGCTAAGGGCAATAGCAGGAAGGACGGGTCCATTGGGGAGAAAACGCATGGCAAGGATGGAGATGCAAGTCGCTCATCTCTCGTGTGTTGGTAATGCAAGGAGCCAGACCATCCCTTCTTCAAGTGTACCAAGGCACCGCCTGGCTGGTCACCACCAAGGTGGAAACCGCATACCCGCGGGAGGACAAAACTGCACACCAGCAACAACCATTCGTTCTCTCCACGAAGGGGTTGCAGCCCCAAGCGTGACAACGATGTGTCAAAATAGCAAGGGGCAAGTGAAGGGGACAGCAATGTTAGTCTTAGAATGCACTAGCCTAGCTACTAATCGCCTCTTACAACATTACAAGCACTCTCCTTGGGGTCACCTCCAAGGGTCCTTGGGTGCCTGACTAACGTTAGCCCCTATCCAAGGGTTCGAGCGTGTAGAGAGAGTAACTTGCAGATTGTCAAAAACTTTGAAGACTGGTAGCGTTGTTGCAGCAGGCGTGGGAGGAAGAATCAACTCAAGTTATGTTTTGAACAAGCAAACACAAATTGTTTTATGCCTAGTCTATTCTAACCTTTCCTATCCTGTTCTACTTTTCCTGTTTCAGTTTACGCAGCGC